GGTGGTCTCTCAAACACAAACCTGATTAGGCTTCGAGCCTCACAGCACCACCTGCAAGAACATTCTGTGGTGAGGGACAGCCGACAGGCTGTCCATACCGGTGCTGTCCACCACGGCAGCCACCAGCCACCCAGAGACAGTGAGCACTAGCAGTGTGTCTGGTCCAAGAGGGAAACAGCATTATGTGGGTTCTACTTTAACGAACCGTAGGCTGGGCGCAGTGGCTCACGCCTACAATCTCAGCACTTTGGGAGGCCGCATCAGGAGGGTCACTTGAGGCCAGGAGTTAGAGACTAGCCTGGGCAACACAGCAAGACCCCATCTCTACCAAATACTTTTCACGAATTAGTGACACCTGTCTTTAAAAAAAAAAAAAAGGCTTGGGCCAGTGGCTCACGCCAGTTGTAATCCCATCACTTTTGGAAGGCCGAGGCGGGTGGGCGATCACAAGGTCAGGAGTTGAGACCAATCCTGGCTACCATGGTAAAAAAACCCCAGTCTCTACTAAAATACAAAAAAAAAAATTAGCTGGGCATGGTGGCAGGCGCCTGTAGTCCCCAGCTACTCAGAATGGCATGAATCCAGGAGGTGGAGCTTGCAGTGAGCCGAGATCGTGCCATTGCACTCCAGCCTGGGCGAGCAGAGGAGACTCCATCTCAAAAAAAAAAAAAAGACTAATCACTAAATCAACTTTAATTTCAGTTTAAAAATCCATGTGCAACTAGAGGGAACCATAGGAGGCAGGGGAGCACTGGCTCCAACCAGCAACTCCAGAACAAACATGGGAGGGGAGCGCGTGAGGCGCCAGCCAGGGCATGCAGCCTAGACACTCCAGGACAAGCAGCTGCGTCCTCAACACACAAGCTCCAAGGGGGATCCCATGGGGAAAAGGGACATGAGACACCCTGAATCTGGACTCCCTGAACAAATTCATAAACTCAGACAATTGGGGAAGTTTGAACGCTGACAGGATATTTAGAGATATTAAGGAATCTCTGAGGGTTTTAGGTGTGAAAATGACATTCTGGTCATGTGTCTTAAAGTCTTTATCTTTTGGAGATACAGAAGGAGATATTTGCAGAGAAAGTATGTCTGGAATGCACTATGAAATCATGGCAGGAGGGGACTGGGTGAAGGTACAGATCAAACAAGGAGCCCTGAGCTAACGGCACCCGCCTTGCTTGCTCACTGAGGCCAGGCCGTGGGTATGTACGAAGACATACTTCCACACAGAAACTCACACATGAATGTATGAGTTTCTACTCTGTGCAATTGTCTACACTTATTTTTCATAAAAATACTATTTTAAGTCACCTTTGAAAACATCAATTTCTATTTTTATGCAACGAATTGGCTACTTAAAATACTGACTTGTTTCCATGAATGTTAGAAGTAACTTGTGTTTAGATATTCACAAGTTACGTGGGAGAGCTGGTCTCACGTGTAAACAATCTATCACTGAGTAACTGGGTTTCTTCAACACAGGCAATCACACTGTCCTCATCACAAAGATCAAAAAACTCGGCCGGGCGCAGTGGCTCAGGCCTGTAATCCCAGCACTTTGGGAGCCCAATGGGGGTGGATCACCTGAGGTCCGGAGTTCGAGACCAGCCTGACCAACAAGGTGAAACCCCGTCTCTACTAAAAATACAAAAATTAGGCATGGTGACAGGCGCCTGTAGTCCCAGCTACTCGGCAGGGGAATCGCTTGAACCTGGGAGGCAGGGGTTGCAGTGAGCCGAGATTGCACCACCGCATTCCAGCCTGGGCAACAGAGCGAGACTCCATCTAAAAAATGAAAATAAATACATAAAATTTTAAAATCCTGATAAAGGCTGGGCACGGTGGCTCATGCCTGTAATCCCAGCACTTTGGGAGGCTGAGGTGGGTGGATCACTTGAGGTCAGGAGTTCAAGACCAGCCTGGCCAATATGGTGAAACCACATCTCTACTAAAAATACAAAAAAAAAAATTAACTGGGCATGGTGGTGGTGCCTGTAATTCCAGCTACTCGGGAGGCTAAGGCAAGAGAATCGCTTGAACCCGGGAGGCAGAGCTTGCAGTGAGCCAAGACTGCACCACTGTACTCCAGCCTGGGCGACAGAGCAAGACTCCATCCCTTTCAAAAAAAATTAAAAATTAAAAAATAGGTTGGGCATGGTGGCACACTCCTGTAGTCCCAGCTACTCAGGAGGCTGAGGCGGGAGAATCACTTGAGCCCTGGAAGCAGAGGTTGCAGTGACATGCTAGTACTCCACTGCACTCCAGCCTGGGCAACAGGGCAAGGACTCCATCTCAAAAAAAAAAAAAAAAAAAGAAAAAGGTTTACACTTAGGGATGAAAAGGTTTGTCCTCCCATTTCAGAAAGAAACCACCGCCATATTCACAGGCCGTGTTTTAAGAAAACAGGAGTCACTGGGAAAAACCATCTTTGACAGCAGAAGACTCAACAGTGGCCCTGGCTGGCCACTAATAGAGCCGGGTCAGCAGGAGCAGGAGCAGGAGCAGGAGCAGGAGCAGGCTGTGATGGAACCCTCATGACCACTCACCCTGCAGGGCCCCCAGGGCTCCTGTCCCAAGGCTAGGCTGACCGAGGAACTGCCCACACTGCCTTCTCTCTGTCAATGGACAAGTGCTCCGCAAAGAGATGAAGAACGGGAGGGAGGAAGGAGGCAGGGGCTGAAGAGCTACCTACCGGGTACTATGCTCACAACCCGAGTGCAATACACCCAAGGGGCAAACCTGCACATGTACCCCCGTATCTAAAATCAAAGCTGAAAACAAGAGGTGAAGAACAGCCACCTAAAGCACAGAGGATGTGGGGGCCTGTGGGTCACTCCAAACCAGGACGTCTGTCCAGACACCTCCCAGGCCCGGCAGGCACGCTGTGTAGCCACCTCCCTGGAAAGCTGCCCACGCCCTGGCTGACATCCACTTGCCAAAAATGTCCTCGGAGGCACACAGCCATCTGACAGGCATATGCCACTCTGTATCCTTTGGTCTTGGTTAGAGATTCCTTAAAAACGTTTTCTCCATTTAATCAAAAGGAAAAATGGGGCCAGGCGTGGTGGCTCACGCCTGTAATTCCAACACTTCGGGAGGCTAAGGTGGGCAGATCACTTACCAGCCTCGCCAACATGGCCAACATGGTGAAACTCCATCTCTACTAAAAATACAAAATTTAGGCCAGGCACGGTGGCTCACACCTGTAATCCCCGCACTTTGGGAGGCCGAGGCAGGCAGATTATGAGGTCAGGAGCTCGAGACCAGCCTGACCAACATGGTGAAACCCCATCTACTAAAAATACAAAAATTAGCCTTGCCTGGTGGCACACACCTGTAATCCCAGCTACTCAGGAGGCTGAGGCAGGAGAATTGCTTGAACCTGGGAAGCAGAGGTTGCAGTGAGCCAAGATTGTGCCATTGCACTCTAGCCTAGGCAACAGAGCAAGACTCCATCTCAAAAAAAAAAAAAATTTAGCCGGGTGTGGTGGCGTGTGCCTGTAACCCTAGCTACTCGGGAGGCTGAGGTACAAGAATCACTTGAACCCGGGAAGCGGAGGTTGCAGTGAGCCGAGATGGTGCCACTGCACTCCAGCGTGGATGACAAAGCAAGACTCTGTCTCCAGAAAAAGAAAAAATGGGAACTGGCCACGGTGTCTGGAAAGAACATGGTTCTGCAGCCAGCAAGGCACTGAGACATCAGGCAAGCACTGCCTTCCCCGCCTCAGCCACCCCTACCCATGGGCTGACAGCCAGAAACGTACTGACTACAGGACACAGCCAGCACTGACTGCCATGGTCACCTCGGTCATCGTGGCCCTGAGCGCCAGGCCCATAAGCAGTGCTTGCAAAGGTTCAGGCCGCATGCCACCTCCCACAGCCCAACGCCCATGCTCACCAGCTCTTGGGAGGAGAGGCTTCAGCTTGGACCCTCAGACCCTCGCTGGAACCCCCTGCGGTGAAGATGGGTCACACGTGTCCAGCCCAAAGGCCTGAGACCCACAGCTTTCCCTTCACCCTCTCATTTCCATAACATGCACGGGGCTACAAATGCAGGGTGCTCACGCCTCCAGAGCCACGGCCAAGCCAGGCCCAGGACAGGCAGGTGTTCCAAGCACCCCTGCTGGCTCTGAGGGCCTGGCAAGACCCTCCAGGCTAGACATCAGCCACCTCCTTCTAGATATGCCTTCTAACCAGGGCGAGGGATGGGTCCTGAAGGTGGCACATCCAAAGTTCACTTCACCATGACTGTAGAAAAATCAATCTGCCTGTGGGAAGCTAATGTGGTGATCAAATCCAAGACAGAGGCTCCCTTGGGAGGTGGAGCTAGGAGGGGAGGGATAGGGAGGCCAGTGGGGCACATGCTGCTGCTTGATTGGATGCTAACAGGCACACCTGTGCTTGGGGCTCCAGCTTCCGTGTGTAAGTCAGCCTTTCAGTAAAACCCTATCTTTTTAAATAGCAACTCAAGGCATTTTTTTTTTTTTTTTGAGACAGAGTCTCACTGTGTTGCCCAGGCTGGAGTGCAGTGGCGCCATCTCAGCTCTCTGCAAGCTCCGCCTCCCAGGTTCACACCATTCTCCTGCCTCAGCCTCCCGAGTATCTGGGACTACAGGCGCCCACCACCACGCCCGGCTAGTTTTTGTATTTTTAGTAGAGATGCGGTTTCACCATGTTGGCCAGGCTGGTTACAAACTCCTGACCTCAACTGATCTGCGCGCTCAGCCTCCCAAAGTGCTGGCATTACAGGCGTGAGCCACTGTGCCCCGCTGGCATTTTTAATAAGTCTGTTTTTTTAAAATGATGCTGAAAATCCACTGTGATGACACTGATGGGCTCTGGGGCCCACTTGTGCACCAGACACCCCCATGCCTGGCCTAGCAGTGCCTCCCAGGCCCCTGAGAACTTAGCCCTCACCTCCACCTCCCAGTGTGGCCATTCCCCTGTGACAGCTCGGGGGAGGGGCACCCAGCCTCGTGCCACCTGCAGCTGCTTACCGGACCAGCCTCAGTCTTGCAGGTGAGGTCGTCCAGGCTCTGGCTCTGTAGCTTCTCAGTGATGAGTGTGACCATGGTTGGGGCCCCGTGTCCTCCGTCCACACCAACAGGCACTGGAGTGCTGGAACATCAGACTCTCCAAGGCCCCGGCATTGCTAGTTCTGAGCCAAATCTCAAGGTCATGTCTCCACTTTCCTTACAGATGAGCAGTCCGTGCCACAGGCTCTTCAGGATTTGTGCCTGTTTCTCAGAAGAGATAAATCACCATGTGATTATACGCAAAATCATTTTGTTGGTGTTTCTGTTACATGCCAGGTCCCCTGTGTATAAAGTATTTCTGATATCCTGCCTCACAAACACCCTCCCATTTTCAAAACTACCATGCAAGTTCTTTTCTGGAAAATCTGATCACGGTGGTCTTCTGGCTAAAGGCAAAGGCACATGTTAGACTCATCTCGCCCCCTGGAAGCCTCAACTGAAAGAAGATAGGCCACCCCAGTCTCCTGCTCCAAAAAAGGGGAAATAGGATGGGAGATGATGGCAAGGACATTCTGGAAGCTGGGAAGCTGCTGGAAAGCCAGTATGAAGCCAGGAATGCCGAAACCCTGACTACCCACCCCCTTCTGCTCCAAGTGGCCAAACACCCCTCCCACTCCCGCCAGCCAGTTGGGCAAGCGCTCTCCACTGAAGCTGGGGCAGAGGAAGCCTACCAGGGTCCGCACCTGGTCTGCTGACAGCAAGGGGCCGGCAGAGGAAGGGCTCGGGCTCGGGGGGTCTTTCAGGCCCTGAGCTCTCCAGCCCCAGGAATGGGCAGCTCTGTCTGTACTGCCGGCAGAGGCTGCGGGGCTGCCCCAGGGCTGCTCCCAACAGACACCAATGGGCCGAGGTGCCCAGCAAGGTGGTCCTGCACCCAGCGTGTCCCCAACCTGCCCCAGCTTTGACCCTTCTCAGGCTCCCACTGTTGGGTGTGAGGAGCTGCCAAGGCCACCTAGTTCAGACCCAACAGAGGCCAAACCGGACAAGGGGCAAACAAGCAAAACCAGCAACTTGGAGAAGAGCCCTAGGTGGGAGGGTAAGGACTTCCTCAGCAGCAGCCCTCTGTGCTCGGAGTGACACGGCACCTCCATGAAGACCAGGACACCCATAAAAAGGAACTTCCAGAGAAAAAGAAGAGTGCCTGGGAATTAAGACAGCAGTGATGGAACCTCCACACAACCTCCAAGGTGCGTGTCCTCAGCTGCCACCCAGCTCCAGCTTCCGGCCAGTCTTCTGGGGCCCACAGACTGCTCCTAGGCAAGGATTAAGGGTGGACAGGACGCCAAAGCTGAGGCCTCACCTCCACCAATGAAGGCAACCCATAGGCAGCAGCGTTCACAAGCATCTGCCCCAAAAGCCTGGCACGTGGGAGGCACGTGGGCCGCCCCATCAGAAGGACCGCCGGCCACTCGGGCCACACCACCTGCCAGTAAAGTAAGAGGACAAAGGAGACTCACACGCACACTTCTGCCAACGCTGGAAAGGTTTCAACACGGTTCAATACCTGCGTTCCACACTTAAAATGTGCACATACAACTGCTCTCAACAGAAACCAATAGGCACTTCGCTAGAGCCCAAAAGCCAGCATCTTCCTGAACGAGGGCCAGGGCAAAGGCGCCACCAACACAGCAGCTACGCGCACAGTGGGCCACCCGGCCTGGCTCGGAGCCTTCCCGTCACCAGGCACAGCCCTGTTGCTGTCAGGTCCAGGAGACTGGGCAGACCAAATCCAGGCAGGGTCTGTGCACAGGTCCTGATAGGTGCCACCCACCCATGGGGCTGTTCCAGGCCAGGGGACACAACACACCAGCTAAAGGCTGTGCCCACCTGGCTCACTGGGTCTGAAATCACGCGCTCGGCGCTGACCACTCCCACCACCCTCGGCAGTCACCACTGTCATCTCCAGCCCACAGCCAAGAGCCCCAGACTCCAAGAGGGGTGTCCTGCGCTGGGTCAGGGCCAGCCAGGCCCACTGTGATGCTTCAGAAGGAGGTCTCTCTGCAGCAGTGGCTCCATTCAAACTGTCTCAAACTAAGCAGCACAAATCAGAGCCAGTCACACTGCACACCCAATGCTGGTCAATGTCAGCTGGGGAGAGCCACCAGCAACTGGGATGCCAGCTCACACCACGGCCCAGACTCACCTCTGTCCCAGCTCAGTGCCCCCAGCTCACACCACAGCCCAGACTCACCTCTGTCCTAGTTTCAGAGTCCCCAGTTCACACCACGGCCCGGACTCACCTCTGTCCTAGCCTCAGAGCCCCCAGCTCATACCACAGCCCAGACTCACCTCTGTCCTAGTTTCAGAGCCCCCAGCTCACACCACGGCCCAGACTCACCTCTGTCCTAGTTTCAGAGCCCCCAGCTGACAGCCACGGCCCGGACTCACCTCTGTCCCAGCTCAGAGCCCCCAGCTGACAGCCACGGCCCGGACTCACCTCTGTCTCAGCGTCAGAGCCCTCACAGGACGGGGCTCTATGGCTGACAAGCCAGCCTCCCTCCCTAATCCCACCAACCATTCCTGCAGGGCGAGGGCCAGCTCCCTTCACACCATGCACCATGAGGGGCTACACACCCACATTCTGAACCCTCCTGGTTGCACAAAGCACACACACAACCTTAGAAACGGGACAACAGCCACACTATAACTTGAAAAAATAATAACTAGGATTTTATTTTAAAAACAGGCTTCACAGTCTGTGTAGAAATGGCTGATTTCAGGGCTGAGGCAGGGAAAAGAGCTGGAGCCTGTCGAGGTGCAGGAAGTGAGGATGGCTCCCCAGTAGCCTGCCGGTAACACAGAGCAAAGCAAGCGGCAGCGAACACAGGAACCCAGGAACCCATGAACCTAGGAACCCATGAACCTAGGAACCCATGAACCCACGGACCCAGAACCCATGAACCTAGGAATCCACAAACCCAGGAACCCAGACACCCACAGACCCAGGAACCCACAGACTCAGGAATCCAGGAACCCATGAACCCATAGACTCACGAACCCATGAGCCCACAGATCCATGAACCCACGAACCCAAGAACTCACGAACCCAGGAACCCACAGACCCAGGGACCCAGGCACCCAAGAACCCCGGAACCCATGGACTCAGAAACCCACAGACCCAGGAACCCACAGATCCAGGAACCCACAAACCCATGGACCCACAAACCCAGGAACCCATGAACCCAAGGTCCCAGGAACCCACAAACCCATGGACCCACAAACCCAGGAACCCACAGATCCATGGACCCAGGAACCCACAAACCCAGGAATCAGGAACCCAGGAACCCAGGAACCCACAGACCCAGGTGAGGTGGGGGTGGCGGGAAAGCACGTCCTCACGGGGCGGTGGGGAGCCACGAGTGAGTGCAGAGAGAATGAGGGAAGTACTTTAAAACCATCACTTGACCAACATCCCAACACAACAGTCTCAGGCAAGATGCATCCATGATGCTGGACCCACAGAGAACGTATGGCGAGAAACAGAGCTCACAGCCTCAAAGTGACCCCCAAAAGATGCTCGGCAGTCACCAAGGAAAAACAGTAACAGCAGGGGTACCCGGCAGGCACCTGAACCCAGCGATCAATGTGAATACCCCAAGAGCATCCTGCGGGGCACCCAGGACACAAACACAGGAACCTGAATTTCCCCCTTTTTTTTTTTTTTTTTTTGAGACAGAGTCTTTCTCTGTCGCCCAGGCTGGAGTGCAGTGGTGCAATCTCAGCTCACTGCAGCCTCCGCCTCCCAAGTTCAAGCGATTCTCCTGCCTCAGCCACCCAAGTAGCTGGGATTACAGGCACACGCCACCACACCTGGCTAGTTTTTGTATTTGTAGTACAGACAGGGTTTTGCCATGTTGGCCAGGCTTGTCTCAAACTCCTGATCTCAGGTGATCCGCCCACCTCAGCCTCCCACAGTGCTGGGATTACAGGCATGTTTCACCACCATGCCTGGCCTGGAACCTGATTATTTAATTCTGAAGAAATGTCAGACAATCTCAAAACAGGCCAACTCTACAAAATGACCAGCCAGAAACCTTCAGAAGCATTGGGTGAGGAAAGAGCTCGGCGAGGCCCGGCCCAGACTTGGGGGGGGGGGTCCCAATGCAGCACGTGACCCTGGGTCAGAAAAAGGGCAGGGAGGACATGTCCCAAATCTGCCTGAGCACCGTCAGATGCCAGCACCACGCCACACTGACGCCGCACTACTGGCTGTGACTACTGCCTGTGGTCACGTGAGATGTGAACGCCTGGAGGGTCTGCATGCCTTCGATAGAGAAACGATGACACGTGTGTGCAAGAGTCACACTCTCGGCCGGGCACGGTGGCTCACGCCTGGAATCCCAGCACTTTCGGAGGCCGAGGCGGGCGGATCACGAGGTCAGGAGATCGAGACCACGGTGAAACCCCGTCTCTACTAGAAATAAAAAAAAAAATTAGCCAGGCGCAGCGGCGGACGCCTGTAGTCCCAGCTACTCCGGAGGCTGAGGCAGGAGAATGGCGTGAGCCCGGGAGGCAGAGCTGGTAGTGAGCTGAGATCGCACCACTGCACTCCAGCCTGGGCAACAGAGCAAGACTACGTCTCAAAAAAAAAAAAAAAGAGTCACACTCTCGTAACTCACAGACTTTAATACATCAGACAGGCCGGGCGCAGTAGCTCACACCTGTAATCCCAGCACTTTGGGAGGCCAAGGCGGGTGGATTATGAGGTCAGGAGATTGAGACCATCCTGGCCCAACATGGTGAAACCCCATCTCTACTAAAAATACAAAAATTAGCTGGGCGTGGCCGGGCACGGTGGCTCATGCCTGTAATCCCAGCACCTTGGGAGGCCGAGGCGGGCGGATCACGAGGTCAGGAGATCAAGACCATCCTGGCTAACACGGTGAAACCCTGTTCTCTACTAAAAAACAAAAAATCCTAGCCGGCGCCGTGTGGGTGCGGCGCCTGTAGCCCCGCTACTCGGAGGCTGAGGCAGGAGAATGCCCCAACTCAGGAGGCAGAGCTTGCAGTGAGCCCAAGATCACGGCCACTCCTCCAGCTGGGCGGACAGAGTAAGACTCCATCTCAAAAAAACAAAAACAAAACAAAACAAAACAATTAGGCTGGGTGGTCGTACACGTACCTGTAGTCCACTACTCAGGAGGCATGAGGCAGGAGACCTTCCTGAACCCGGGGCGGGGTTTGCAGTGAAGCCGAATCCACTACTACTGAGCACGCAAGCCGTGGTGACAGAGTAAGACTCCGTTTAAAAAAAAAAAAATCAGAAGATAAAGTGTGCTCGCAAACAGCCAGCCAGGGCAAGTGTCCAGCCAGCGCCAATGCGGAACACCTGCGGTGTCCAAGCAGCCAGCTCTGGCACGCGAGAGGCACATGCAGCACAGGAGGACCACGTCTGCTGCCAACAGAAGCTCCCTGCCGGAGCCCAGGAGACAGGGATTGTGAGTGCTGCACAAGGGAGGGGAGAGACCCTCCTGTGGAAACCACGCATTTCCCACAGGAAAGGAAGGCGTTACTCAGGTCGTCACCGACGTTGTTGGCTTCCAGGTGCCAGCAGGGCCATTATATCCACATCTCCCGTAACTGACGGGCTTCAAATAACAAAAGTATACTCTCAGAGTTCTGGGAGGCCAGAAGCCCAAACCGAGGTATCAACAGCTGCCTCCGTCTGGAGGCTGAGGGAACCGGTTCCAGCTCTCTCCCAGTTTCCAGCGCTCCAGGAGTCCTCGGCATTCCCTGGCTTTGTAGCTGTACACTGCAATCTCTGCCTCTGTCACCATGCGCCTTCTTTCCCATTTGCCCACAGAGTCTCTGTGTCACTATCTCTTCCTTATAAGGACACCAATAATGGGTGAGAGCTCACTCTAATCATATGACTGTCATCTTTAATTGTACATTAATTACAATAGCATCTGGCCGGCACGGTGCTTCACCCTGTAATCCCACCACTTTGGGAGGCGCCGGGCAGGCAAATCATGAAGTCAGGAGATCAAGACCCATCCTGGGCTAAACATGGTGAAATCCTGTCTCTACTAAGAAAGTACAAAAAAATTAGCTGGGCGGTTGGTGGCATCATCCTGTAAGTCCCAGCTACTTGGGAGGGCTGAGGCAGAGAAGAATTGGCTTGAACCCAGGAGGTGGAAAGTTGTAGTGAGTTGAGATCCATGGCCACTGGCACTCCAGCTTGGGCAACAGAGTGAAGACTCATCTCAAAAAAAAAAAAAAAAAATTACAATAGCATCTGCAAAGACTATTTCTAAATAAAGTCACATTTGCAGGTATTGGGGGTGCAGACTTGAACATAACCTCCTGGGGGATGCAATTCCACACACACAATGCCAGGCCCGTCTCCCCTTACAATAAACTGAGCCATGAGGATGCAGCACCAGTCATGAGGCATGATGGACAGCAAGTCCCTCCCCCTTGGCGGTTCTCAGAGACCAGTCCGCATGAGGGAAGTCTGGGGAAGGAGGAGTTCAGGACCAGAGGAAGCCCCTGCCGGAGCTGGCAAAGCCCAGAGATATGGAAATTGTGACAGATGGTGGCGGTGAGGATGCCGCAGGACCCCATCACGGCAGGACAGCCTTTTCGAGGGGGGTTCAGAGAGGTCCCTCTAAGGCAGTGACATTGAAGCCAGGACTGAAAGCTAAACAACAGAGGCCCGGAAAAGGAGACAAAGGCCAGAACAAGTGGGAAAAGAGACCTCTGGGTTCGAGGTAGATGTAGAAGAGACATGGGAAGTGAGAGAACCTGGCTCTGCTGGAACTCACTGTCCCTGCCACCAACAAGTGAGGAGTGGGAGCCAGCGGAGAGGACCACAACCTGAGCTCCGGGAGGCACAGCTGGCATCGGGCATCCCTCGCCCCTACTCCAGGACCTCTCAGCACCAGCCCCTCTGAACAGGAAGCGGTCCCTCCCAAGCCCATGAGCACCGCCCTGAGCCCAGGCGATGCCTTCTCCCCACACTAAGTGGGCTCACTTCAGAGGACGGCTACAACGAACTCACTTCCACTTTTCCTGCATTAAGTTGCCATCCTCACTCCCAAAGGCTCCTTGTAACTGCACTGTAACTCCCTTCCTTGTAACTGCACTGGTGACTTAAGCCGACAACCCCAGGGGCTTTCCCTGCCTCTCCTTCCACCTCTGCACCCAGCTCAAGCCTGATCCTCAAGGTCTGGAGGGCCGCAGCAGCCTACACCCGTTCCCATCCACTGGGCAACTTGGCCCGACCTCAACGGAAAGCAGATCATGGCACTCTGACCCCCAGAAACAGCCTCCTCAGCCCTTAGGACAGAGGCCAAAATCCTCACCCTGGTCCCCCAACTACCCCATCGTCTCCCCTCGCTCCCCGGGTTCTGGCCACACCAGTGCCCTGCAGACCCCTAGGAGGGTCAAACGCAGAGCTGGAGTTCCACGGGGGCAGCAGGGACGAGCCCCCACCACAGGCAGTGCCTCCGCTCATATGCCCGCCTCACGGGACAGTGGCAAAATGCCCTCGGCTGGCGGCTCTGGCCACTCTCATTCTCCAGGACTCCATCCTCCAAAACGCACCAAAGCAGTTTCTATTTTTCTGTGTTTTAACTCGATCCACATGGAGTCAGATACAGCATTCGTAGAGCCATGAATTAGTTTCCTACAACCACCTATCACAAAGTGGTGGCTTAGGACAGAAATGAACTAGCCAGCTGTCCTTGGAGGCTGGGAGTCCAAGACCAAGATGCTAGCAGGGCCACGCCCCTCTGAAGGCTCTGGGGAGGGATGTGCTCAGGACCTCCTCCTTCCTCCTGGCTCTGGCGTCACTCCAATCTTCCCACCGCGTTCTCCCTGTGTGTGCCTGTGTCCAAGTCTCCCGATTTTATAATGACATCAGTCATTTTGGGGCAGGACTCACCATGCTCCAGTGTGATCCCATCTTAACTAATTACATCTGCAACAACCCTATTTCCAAGTAAGTGCACATTCTGAAGTACTGGGGGGTCAGGACTTCAGTGTGTGACTTTGGCAGTGGACGTCATTCAGCCCATAACCAGCTGTATTTTATTTCCCCACGGCAACACACACAGGGTGCTGGCTCACAAACCAACACTGAGTGACTCCCAAGCGTGCAGAGGCCTCACCCCTGCCACTCTGCAGTGGGCACTTCCATCCCTCAGCCCTGTCCTCGGGTACTTACTACCCCTACGCACACAGCCCGCAGGCACCGCTGCTCCTGGACTGTGCCCCAGCGCACCCCTCAAAGCATCATCTGCTGGCTGGAAGGCACGTCAGGGTGTATCTCTTTGCCAACACAGCCCCACTCCACACCTCCCAATAGGGCTGTGTGAACCTTCTGTCAAGTCATCGCTGACATTATCACGTCACTATAGTGTTTCCAGTTAGGCCACACAGGGGGTCTGTTCTCTAAAGTTCATAACTCCATCCTTTTTACGAATGCAAAGTTTCTGCCCAGTATAAACTCTTGCCTCAAACTCTCCAGCAGATTTACAAACCTCCTAGGAATGAGCCCTTTGGTCAAAGACGTCAGGACACCTTCAGTCCTTCTGCTCCTAGTCCCGCCTTGTGCTCAGGGCTGGCAGGGGTGTGCTCTAGCCCACTCGGGGCACCCCTCACCCTCATCTTGCAGCTCCCTGAGAAGGGGGGCACGTGAAGACCACACCTCTTC